TACAGGTAATTTGAAACGAACCGAAATTAAAAAATAATTTAAATTCTAATTAAATCAAAATATTTACAAATATTTCAAATATCCGAACCGTAACCGAACCGAATATAATTTTTAATATAAAATTTAAAATATAATAACATGAATAAATATATTCGGTTCAGTTAACCAAACTGAAAAAATATCAAAAATCGAAACCGAACCGAATCGAATAAATATCAAATATATAGTATTTGTATTCAAATCGAATTTGCTCAGTTAACCGAAAATTCGATTCGATTCAATTCAGTTCAACGGTTTGACGGTTCGATTCGGTTCGGTTAATACCTTGACATATCATATTCGATGAGCTATAGTTACAGTGTCTTTCTTTGATCTATGAAAAATAAAGAGTTTTTTTCTTCAATTAAATTCATAATTTAAGTAATATTATAATATTATATTTATTAAAAATGTATTATATTTTATTTCAATAGTACAAATTGCATAGTAATTTTTTTTCTTATTATTAAATTAATTTTTATTACTGTAATCATTATACATTGATTGATATTTCTATATAAAGATAAAAATATATTACACATTATCAAATATATATATAGATTATACTCTTCTGTCTTACTTAATTTGTCTCATATTTTTATTTTTGTTCGTTCTATACAATTTGTTATTTTATTTTTTAAAAATATAATTTTATACGTTAATCACATTTTAAAATTCATAATTTATAATTTTTTTATTTTAATTGAACTATTTAATAATTTTAATCTTAATCTGTAATTTTTTTTTATTAGAGTCCATTCCAGACTCAGTTACAAGAACATCAAAACCTCAAAACTTTTCAGAGATAAAGCCACCACCAACTCCTTGCTAGCACCCCAATAGATGTACTGAAATTATTGGGTGTGTTTGTTTGGGGGTTTGGATTTTGAGTTGAGATTTGAATAGTAAAAATTTTGAATTTAAATAGTTGTATGATGTGATATAAATAGATGTTGATGTGATATTTTGAATGTAAAATTGATTTTTAATATAATATAAAAAATAAAAAAAAGGTGTTTAATTTGATATTTTTAGAAAAAAAAAATGAAATGAATAGTGAAAAATAAATCCAATTCCCCAAACAAACGCAATCTCTGAACCTCCTTTAGCCCCTCTCGCCAAACTGTTTTTTTCTAAGCATGTTTTGTTAGAAAAAATATGAATATGTTCACTTAACATCTTTTAGTTCGCATAATTTTCTATAAATATTATGTAAAAATATAATATACTCATACATTAGCACATTGTTTATAATGTATACTCTTTTTATCCATCAAATATATGTTTGTTTGAGTTGGACTCAGGTTTTAATAAATATTGTATTATATTGATCGATTGTGGCATAAAATAAAAATATTTTGAGAATTATATGAACGAGTTAATGAAGTGAGATAAAATTTTGATAGATTGAGTATTTAAATAGTGTGGTATTTTTATGATCAACTGTAATATTGAAATGTATAAATAAAGAAGTGTCAAGAAATTATTTGTTATAAATGAAAAAAGTGTGGACGGAAAGTATATTTTATTCACTCACAGAAAATCAATATTATACAATTTTTCTATATCTAACATAAAAATCACCTTCATAAAAAAAACATAAAATGAACAAACAAGATTCTTTTCTTTTCTTTTCTTTTTTTTTGAAAACATTGTGATAATTGTACAATAAAAAAAAATTAAAAGTAATAATTCTTAATGGAATTCTCTTTTGATTGAAATCGACGATGAAAAACACTTGTAAAATCAACTAAATAGAAATTTTATTTAGTTGAAAATGAAAACACACAAAACACTAAACAAACACTTAAAAAGATACCAAACGTGTGACTCAAATTTATAATGCTAACCCTTATTGACCAAATGAGGCAAGAACATGAACAATCGACTCCAGCGCCGTTCAATGGCACTCCGAATACACCTATCTCCTATCCAAAAAATGAAGCGGGGCTGGCCCTGGGCCTGGGCGAAAGGGCGCCCACCCAGGGCCTAAATTAGGGTAATTATTTATTTATGTTATATATAAATTATTTATATATACAAATTATTTAACATTAGTACATTAATACAAGAGTATGACTTGGTGATTAGTTCTATCTACGCTAAAAATGCTATTAATACTATTATTGATATTTTATCTAAAAATGCTAAAAAAGTTATTTTATTTAATAATTTATATTTTATTATAGGTAAAAAAAAATATAGGAGTAGATCATTTATATATATTTAGGGGTCTTTTATTTCGTCCCGGGCCCTTCGAAAGTCAGGAACAACCCTGGACTCAAGCCATAATCTCTCGAAGTGAAACAATTCGAAATAGAGAAAATCATACCGTAGAGAACTTACTAATCACTCCCAAAATATAGCACAGGTGAATCCCTTCTCCAGAACTCGGAAATCCCCGAAAATCACAACATAAAACACACAACGAACAAAGAAGAGAGAACACGGACGGACAGTAGCTGCGCATGTCTTAGAATGATGGGCATCACACATACATATGTATATATATATTGTTGAAAAATCAGTTAATTATTTAATCAATGGAATTTAATTTTAAATTAAATTCATAAGTTTCGGAATCAATTATTCGGTGAGTTAAAATGCATGTGGGTTGTATGGTGGTTATTAATAGTATGGTTAGTCGTATAAATATCGGTAAGTCACAGGCGCGTGTGCCACCTGTCCATACCAGATAATTACATGCATATATGCATATATGATAAATAATTATTTGAAATTCGAAATTCAAATAGTATATTTATGACCGGAATTAAATTTGGTGTTTATAATCGGAATTATATTGAGGTTAATGACCGGACTTAAATTTGGAATTATAATCGTCGGTTACCGGCCATTAAACACGGGTTTCGACTCTGGAAAATTTTTTTGCCACGGGGTGAAGTGCTATAAAAAGCCATCTCCGCCCATTCTTCCAAGCATACCAAAACCAAGAATGGAGACCAATTCTCTCTACTCTCCCTCTCCTCTCCGGCAACCATTTCCGGCGAGTTTTCCGACAAGCTTCGGAAACTCCCTTGTTTAAAACTCCCGACATAGTTCATAGTTTACCTTATTTTAGTTCATCGGAGCTTCGAAATATTGGGGTGCTACCTAATTCGGAGACGAACGTCGTTTTATCTTTGGGAACGTTACGCCACGAACCGGAGACACTATCAGGGCGTATTCGTTTTTACGGAGAGAGGGTGATTATCGAATTTATTTCGATAAATTTATTGGGATTATGAAATCTATTTGATACATTGATTATCGAATTTATTTCGATAAAATTATTGTGATTATCAAATTTATTTCGAACAAATTTTCGTAATTATATTATTGATTATCGAATTTATTTCGATAAATTATTTTGATATCGAATTTTATTTTTCGAGAATTATTTGATATTATTGCGATATAAAAATTTTCCAACATATATATATATATATATATGAACAAATGAATGTCTAGGATTAAAATCCTAGAATGAATGAATTAGATCATATATGGGGAAATCGGGTTACCGGATCGGGTATGCATCGGATGCGATCGGGATGGCCAAAACATGTTAAGATGTTATGATGGATGTAAAAGATAAAAGTGTTCGTTGTTGGCTGAAAGAGATATTGAGATAAGACTTTTGTTTGTGTACATAGTTTTTACAATTTTAAATTTTTTTAAAAAATAGTAAGAATGTGAACATTTGATGTGACTGTCAGATAATATAAATATTTAATATAATTTTTTTTAAAAAAAATATTTTTAGAAATAAATAATATCAAAAATAATTTTTAAATATCGGCAAATAGAGCCTAATTTAACCACAATCTCATCAATTTCATTATAATAATAATAATTAAAAAAAAAACACTTCCAAAATTAAAACATCGTACAAACCAAACAAACACATCTTAAATACAAATCCAGTGGTAAAATAAAAAGAAAAACAAAAAGTAACACTCATTAATTTTCAATTTTAACTTTATAAACTTCTAAAGAAAAGTATAAAGATGTATCATAATACTATTGTTTTTCTTAATTTTGGTATTAAAAAGAAAAGGGTAAAGACTATTTTTAGTCCCAATATAACTAAAATTTATCAATTTTTATCCCAATATAAAAAACTCATCAATTTTGGTCCAAATATAAAAAACTCATCAATTTTGGTTCTAATATAACTAAAACTCATCATTTTTTGTTCCAATATACAATTTTTTTATCAATTTTAGTCTCAATATAACAAAACCTCATCATTTTTTGTTTCAATATAATTAAACCTTATTTTTTTTGTCACACCATCAACAAACCAACGGAAAATACTGACATGAAAAGAAATCAAACCTTATATTTATATTTGAAGAAATTGCACAATCTTGCAAATTCACGTCAACATTTTCAGTCGGTTTGTTGACGGTGGGACAAAAAAAAAAGGTTTGATTATATTGAGACAAAAAATGATGAGTTTTGGTTATATTAAGACTAAAATTGATAAAAATTTTATATTGGAACTAAGAATGATGAGTTTTTGTTATATTGGGACAAAAAATGATGTGTTTTAGTTATATTGAAACCAAAATTGATAAAATTTTATATTGAAATCAAAATTTACGAATTTTTGGTTATATTGGAACTCTCCCCGAAAAAAATTGAGCATATTATATTTTTAAACAGAAGTAATATAAATATATACAACACATTAAAAAAAAAAAAAAAAAAAAAAAAAAAGGTTCGAATGTCTCCGCAATAATGGGAGAAGTTGAAGAAACCGACATCACAATTTTCGGGTCTTTTCATTTCCATCTCTGATGAACAACAACATTATTCATTCTTCCGACAATGATTCTATCCTACCAATCAAACTAATCCTATCTTCATCTTCCTTAATTTCCCCAAACACACACAGTACCTAATATCACCATGAATTATAATTAGCACCAATCACATCTCCGCACGTTTTCACCATGTCAAATCAAGGAACCAAAAAGGGCTCTTCTGACAATTCCTCCGGCGCCGGCGCCGGCGGCAGCCAAGCGGTAAAATTCGCCCGAAGAACGGCGAGCGGACGGTACGTAAGCATGTCGCGGGAGGACCTCGACATGTCTGGCGAATTCTCCGGCGGCGGCGATCACATGAACTACACCGTCCACATTCCACCGACGCCGGACAATCAGCCGATGGACAACTCCGTCGCCGCCAAGGCGGAGGAGCAATACGTATCGAATTCGCTATTCACGGGCGGGTTCAATAGCGTGACCCGCGCCCACCTCATGGACAAGGTGATCGACTCGGAGGTCACGCATCCTCAAATGGCCGGGTCGAAAGGCTCGTCGTGCTCGATGCCGGCGTGCGACGGGAAGAGCATGAAGGACGAGCGCGGCAACGACGTCGTCCCGTGCGAATGCCGCTTCAAGATATGCCGCGATTGTTTCCTCGACGCGCAAAAGGACACCGGCCTTTGCCCCGGGTGCAAGGAGCCGTACAAGTCCGGCGATCTCGACGACGACGTCCCGAATCACTCGGGCACGCCGTTGTCGTTGCCGGATCCGAAGAGGGATCGTAACAATATGTCCGTTATGAGAAGGAACCAGAACGGCGAGTTCGATCACAACAAGTGGTTGTTCGAAACACAGGGGACTTACGGATACGGCAACGCCTATTGGCCCCCGGAGGGTGGCGCCGGGGGCGGGGGCGAGGGCGAGGGAGGGATGCCGAAGAGCATGACGGATTCGGAGGATAAGCCGTGGAGACCGCTTGCTAGAATCATCGAAATCCCGACTAGTATCCTTAGCCCTTACCGGCTTTTGGTCGCGCTTCGACTAATTTTGCTGGTGTTCTTCTTGGCCTGGCGAATCAGGCACCCGAACACGGACGCGATGTGGCTGTGGTACATGTCCGTGATATGCGAGGTGTGGTTTGCATTCTCGTGGATCTTGGATCAGCTGCCGAAGATACATCCGATCAACCGGGAGACGTATTTAGACGTGCTCCGCGACAAGTTTGAGATGCCCTCGCCTTCGAATCCCTCGGGGCGATCGGATCTTCCCGGAATGGATCTATTTGTTTCGACTGCGGATCCGGAGAAGGAGCCACCGCTCGTCACGGCCAACACTATCTTATCGATCCTAGCTATCGATTACCCTGTCGAGAAACTCGCTTGTTACATCTCGGACGATGGAGGCGCGCTCCTCACGTTCGAAGCCATGGCCGAGGCCGCAAGCTTCGCCGATTTGTGGGTGCCGTTTTGTCGGAAACATGATATCGAGCCTCGCAATCCTGAGACGTACTTTAGCTTGAAAGGTGACCCGACTAAGAACAAGAAGAGGATGGACTTTGTGAAAGATCGGAGGCGAGTTAAGCGCGAGTACGACGAATTCAAAGTGAGGATCAACGGATTGCCCGATTCGATCCGAAGAAGATCGGAGGCTTTCAACGCGAGGGAGGAGATGAAGATGATCAAACACATGAGGGAAAAGACCGGCGGCGAAAACGTCCCCTTAGAACCGATCAAGGTTCAAAAGGCGACGTGGATGGCTGACGGGAGCCATTGGCCGGGTACTTGGGCATCTCCGTCGCGCGATCATGCCAAAGGCGATCACGCCGGAATTCTCCAAGTGATGTTGAAGCCTCCGAGTAGCGATCCTCTCTTCGGAAGCCCCGACGACAACTTTTTGGACTTCACCGATGTAGACATTCGCCTCCCTATGTTCGTGTACATGTCGCGGGAGAAACGCCCCGGCTACGACCATAACAAGAAAGCCGGCGCGATGAATGCTCTCGTTCGTTGCTCGGCTATATTGTCGAATGGTCCGTTCATCCTCAACCTCGACTGCGATCACTACATATATAACTGCAAAGCCGTCCGCGAAGGGATGTGCTTCATGATGGATCGAGGCGGCGAAGATATATGCTACATTCAGTTCCCGCAACGGTTCGAAGGGATCGATCCCTCCGACCGGTATGCCAATCATAACACCGTCTTTTTCGACGGTAATATGCGAGCCCTTGATGGTCTTCAGGTAATTTTTCTGCTGCTGCTACTCATATTCCTATTATTGATACGATCTTTTGTTATAATTCGAATTTTTCTTGTGGCATTGTAATAGGGACCGGTTTATGTTGGGACGGGATGCATGTTCCGGCGATTCGCGCTTTACGGCTTCGAACCGCCGAAAGTCGACCCAAAGCCTAACAAAGACACCGAAACCGAAGCTCTAAAAACTACGGATTTCGATCCCGACCTCGACGTGAACTTATTACCGAAACGGTTCGGGAACTCGACGTTGCTCGCGGAGTCAATCCCGATAGCCGAGTACCAAGGGCGGCCGATCGCCGATCATCCGGCCGTCAAGTACGGGCGACCTCCCGGAGTTCTACGTGCTCCGCGCGAACCCCTCGACGCGCCGACGGTCGCGGAGGCCGTCTCGGTGATATCGTGTTGGTACGAGGATAAAACAGAGTGGGGCGACCGAGTCGGGTGGATCTACGGATCGGTGACGGAGGACGTCGTGACGGGGTACCGTATGCACAACCGCGGCTGGCGGAGCGTGTACTGCGTGACAGCGAAGGATGCTTTCCGGGGATCGGCGCCGATCAACCTCACCGACCGGCTCCACCAGGTGCTCCGGTGGGCGACGGGCTCCGTTGAGATCTTTTTTTCGAAGAACAATGCATTTCTTGCGACGAAGAAGCTGAAGTTTTTACAGCGCCTGGCGTACCTCAATGTCGGAATTTATCCATTCACGTCGATGTTTTTGCTCATCTACTGCTTCCTGCCGGCGCTGTCGCTGTTCTCCGGCCACTTCATTGTTCAGACGTTGAACATTACTTTTCTGGTTCTGCTTTTGTCGATTTCTCTGTGCCTGATCGGACTGGCGATTTTGGAGGTGCGGTGGTCGGGGGTGGCGCTGGAGGAGTGGTGGCGGAACGAGCAGTTCTGGCTGATCTCCGGCACGAGTTCGCACCTGGCGGCGGTGGTGCAGGGGCTGCTGAAAGTGATCGCCGGAATTGAGATTTCGTTCACGCTGACGTCGAAGGCCTCCGGAGACGACGAGGACGATCTGTACGCGGAGCTGTATTTGGTGAAATGGACGTCGCTGATGATTCCGCCGATCGTGATCGGGATGGTGAACATAATTGCGATGGTGGCAGCGTTCTCGAGGACGATCAATCAGGCGAATCCGCAGTGGAGCATGTTCGTCGGCGGCGCGTTTTTCAGCTTTTGGGTGTTGGCGCATCTCTATCCTTTTGCCAAGGGGCTGATGGGGAGGAGGGCGAAGACGCCGACCATTGTTTATGTCTGGTCGGGGCTTATTGCGATTACGCTGTCGCTGCTGTGGACGGCGGTTAATCCTGACGCCGGCGGTGGCGGCGGCGGCGGCGGGTTTACGTTCCCGTAGACCGGCTTTTTATTGTGTGTTTTTGTTCGGTTTTTTTTTGTAGTTGTTGTTGTAGAATGCTTTTGCTTTGGTATGGGGTGGGTGGTTTTGTTTGTTTGTTTATTTTATTTTTGGGTTAGGAAGTGATTTTTTGTTGATTATTGTGTAAATATATTGTTGTTGGTTTTATTTATTTTTGCAGGAATACTTGTATTGTATTTTGTACGGATGAATGACAAATTAATTTTTTTTGTTATTTTATACATACATTACTATTTGTAAAAGTGTAATAATAAATTAATTTTTTATATTATTTATTTTACACAATATTATATATCATATTAATTATATATATAGTTATTAAGGATTTTTTCATTTAATTTATTTTTTAGTGTCACGATTGTTTATAAGTATTATAAAATATATATATATATATATGTATATTAGCATAATATATAATATATAATATATAAATTCTATTCACCTCGAAAAAAATAATAATTCAATAAAAATGTATTAATTTTATATTACCAACATGACTTAACATAAAAATTACATTCATCTAAGAGTATAAAATGAAATACATCGTAAATATTATTGTTGTTACTAAAAAAATAAAAAAATTGTATAGTTATTTTTGTTTGTATTTACATTATATATACTAATATATATTTTGAAGAATTTACATAATTATTAAATACTCTCTCGGTCCCTTAAATAATTATTTGTTTGTTTTTTTCACAGAGTTAGTATATTAGTATTATATTGATATGCAGTAGAAATAAAGTAAAAATGACTAAAATAATCTTATTAGTATTTTATGATATAAATGTAACGACATTTTGTGTAATATATTATAAATTGTAAAAATATTTGTAATATTAAGTAGATAGTACATTTACTAAAAAAAAATATAAATACTTTATTATGAAACAAAGCAAAATGAAAAAATTAATAGTTTGTTAAAGGGACGAGGAAAATAGTTATTATCATTAGAAAAAATAGTATATATGAATATTATTGAATGCTAAAGTATACAATATAATTAAGAAATATATAAATAATACTCTCTTCATCCTACATAAAATGTTTATTTTTTCTATTTTGATCTGTTCATATAATTTGTCATTTTTTTAAAAAAATATAATTATATATTTTACTTACATTTTAAATTTCATTATTAATAATTTTTCAATTTTAATTAAATTATTTAATTATCTTAATTTATAATTATTTTTATTATACAATAATAATTTTTACTAATATATATTTTTAGTTATTTACTAATATATTTTACCTAAATTCATATATTTATGATAATATAAATAATTTAACCGAAATAAAGAAAGAAATTAATTATATTACTACAATATAAAAATAATTCACATAATAAAGTAAGTAATATTGTCTCTGTCCTTTGACAATCTATCAATTTTTCTATTTTGGTTTGTCCATAGCAAAATATCTATTTTCTTTTTTAGTAATTGTATTTATCTACCTAACATAACAAATACCCTTTCAATTTACAATATATTACACAAATATCATTACATTGATATCATACAATACTAATAAGATTAGTTTAATTTTTTTACTTTTATTTCTACTACTCTCAAATAATACTCCCTCCGTCCATTTACAATGTTTACATATTTCTATTTTGAGACGTCCAATTACAAGGTTAACATTTCATTAAATACCTTAATTTTTCCCACAAATACCCTTACTTTACATCACATTATTACTTTTACACAAAAAAAAGTGAAGGCAAAAATGTCATTACACTACTTTTAACTACTCACTATAATTAAAATACTATTATTTCTTAGACACCGCGCCAAAAATAAATGTAAACTTTGTAAGTGGACGGAGGGAGTATAATATTTCTAAAACTATGCAAAATACAAATGGATAGATAGATATGAGACGGATTGAGTATTAGATTATTATTATTTCTCCACAAGAAAAAAAATATTATTTGTTACTTCCTCCGTCTCACATACCATGTACACGTTGCCGTTTCTGTCCGTCCTATATTTCATGTTACTTTCCTTTTTTTAAAAATGATTACACACTTTAATCTTATTTTAAACTTTTTAATTTATTTTTTTAATTTTAATTAAACTAATTAGTTATCTTAATCTTAATTTATAATTATTTATATTATAGAATAATTATTTTCACTAATTCATTCATAATTATTTACTAGTTACATCTCTCCTAAGAATACCTAAGAATACCGTGTCTACAGTGTAGCAGACGCACTATTTTAATTAAACTTTTTTTCGAAGATAGCATTGCTTATTAGATTGTTTGAATTCAATATAAAAAGTTATGGTTAGAATATTGGATTGAAATATGTTTCAATACACATTATACTACCCTCGTCTATTAGTAAATATTTTTTTATTTAATTTTTAAACATAATAAATTAAAGTAAATTAGTATTTTATAAATATATATTATAATAAAATAATATAATATCAATTTTATTTTTAAAAAGTAATGTAAAGTTAAAATAACAAATAAAAAATTTACTAATGAATATAGGTAAAGTGAGTATATTTTTATTATAGTTATTGAAGAAAACTAATATTCCCTTCGTTCCAATACAATAGTCTTAGTTATTATTTTTGTTCGTCCCAAAATAATAGTTTTATTTCCATAAACCATATCACCATAAAATTAACCATATTTTATTTTTTTTATTACACAATTGCCACTATTTTTTATACTAATACACTCACAAGGACAAAAAAGTTTTTTACTCATACTTTTTACCCACTACCAATATAATACTCCTTCCGTCCCACATACCGTGTCTGCTACACTGTAAACACAGTATTTTAGGAGGGGTGTAATTAGTAGATAATTAAGAATGTATTAGTGAAAATAATTATCCTATAATATAAATAATTATAAATTAAGATTAAGATAACTGATTAGTTTAATTAAAATTAAAAAAAATTAAATTAAAAAATTTAAAATGAGATTAAAGTGTATAATCATTTTTCAAAAAAAGAAAAGTGACATGGTATGTGGGACGGACAGAAACGGCAACATAGACATGGTATATGAGACAGAGGGAGTATCAATATTCCTTAAATTTCATGACCAAACCAATTAAAACTATATTTATAAGACAGAGGAGTACTACGTTTTTGTAATATGCAATATATTCTAATCGAAAGCATTTATTTTGTCATTATTTTTTTCTGTACAAGTAAATTGTATTTATGCTTTTAGTAAATTAATATTAATATTAATATATCTAGATCCGTTTGTAAACGTCATATTAGTACTTTCACTCGTAGGGAGGGTGTGTTTGTTTGGGGTTTGGATTTTGAGTTGGGATTTGAATAGTAAAAATTTTGAATTTGAATAGTTGTATGATGTGATATAAATAGGCGTTGATGTGATGTTTTGAATGTAAAATTGATTTTTAATATAATATAAAAAATGAAAAATAGGTGTTTGATTTGATGTTTTTGGGGGGAAATTTTTGGATGAATAGTAGGATTTTGTTTAAATCCTACAAACGAACACACCCTTAATGTAGATGGCTAAAATTCAGGTTGAGGCCATGGTATTTTGTTTGACAGTAAATAACATATTGCAATATTTTTTACTATAATACAAATATATCGTATGAACAAAAAAAAAAACATATTTTATAATTTTAACAGTACACAGTGTTATTGCAGACAATACATTATATATGTTAATATAATATAAATACATCACATGTTATACAATACATTTGTACATATAATGTGTGTTGAGTTAAAAAATTAGAATCAGCACCCTAATCATCCCCATATTAAATATATATATATACTTTATTAACTACAAAAATTAATAATTTAATATAAAATATTATTTTATATTAATACCAGAATTTACATATCTAATACTTTTCTCACTCCCACTTAATTTATTAATTTTTTCTATTTCCTACCATATAATTTATCTTTTTTTTTATATAGAAATATAATTATACACTTTAATTACATTTTAAAATGCATAATTTATAAATTTTTTATTTTAATTAAATTATTTAATCATTTTAATCTTAATTTAAAATTATTTTTACTAATATAGTTTTTAGTTAGTTACTAATTAAATACTACTTAAAATTAGGTGTCTAAACTAAATGAGAAAATTAGCTGATGGAAATAATGTATATGTTCAAAAATACAAAATATAGATACATTTGATTTTTAGATTTGTTTTGTATGCGTTTCAAATATTTTTTTTAATACAAAATAGTTACATTATTTCTTTTTTGAAAATATACAATTTAAATTTAAATTTAAATTAAAAACTCAAATTCAAATATATACTCTCTTCGTCTCACATAATTTGCCTCTATTTTCTATTTTCGTTCGTCCCATATAATTTGTTATTTTTCTTTGGAAATATAATTATATACTTTAATAGTATTTTAAAATTTAAAATTTAAAATTTTTAATCTTGATTTTTAGATTTGTTTTGTATGCGTTTCAAATATTTTTTTTAATACAAAATAGTTACATTATTTCTTTTTTGAAAATATACAATTTAAATTTAAATTTAAATTAAAAACTCAAATTCAAATATATACTCTCTTCGTCTCACATAATTTGCCTCTATTTTCTATTTTCGTTCGTCCCATATAATTTGTTATTTTTCTTTGGAAATATAATTATATACTTTAATAGTATTTTAAAATTTAAAATTTAAAATTTTTAATCTTAATTAAACTATTTAATTATTTTAATCTTAATTTATAATTATTTTTACTAATAGATTTTTAATTACTTACAAATTATATTTTATTTAAATGCCCGTATTTACAATAACGAGTCCATATTACATGAGACGAAGAGAGTATTTTATTTCAAAAATAATATTTTTTTATAAAAAATAATTAGATTGAATGGTAAAAGGATAGTTTTAAAATAAAAAATTCAAAATCAAACAAACATTTTGGATGTATTTGTTCGAGAGTTTGAATTTTGAGTTGACATTTAAATAATAAAAAATATGAATTGAAACAATAGTACGACGTGATATAAATAAATATTTATGTGATATTTTGAATGTAAAATTAATTTTTAATATAATATAAAAATAAAAAATGAATATTTAATTTGATATTTTTAAGAAAAAAAAATTATATGAATAATATAAATTCTTCCCAATCCTCTACACAAACACACTTTAAATTTTATGGTCGGTCTTTGTTTTATTACATTTTTTTTTTGAATTTTTATTTTTTTGAAATAATTGATATTATAATTTTTTTAAAATAAATTAAAGTATTACTTTTTCATCACACTTTATATAATTTGTTTACTTTAACTAAGAATTCAGGTGAAATATAATTAATAAATTAATTTTAAATTATATATTAATAAAAATAAATATTATATATAATATAAATAGTTATAAATTAAAATTAAAATAATTAATTAATTTAATTAATATTAAAATATTACTCCATCCGTCCCATTTAATATGGGTCTATTATTGTATATACGAGAATTTAGGTAAAATATAATTAGTAAGCAATTAAAAAATATATTAGTAAAAATAATTATAAATTAAGGTTAAAATAACTAAATAGTTTAATTAAGATTAAAAAAAATTAAATTTTAAAATTTAAAATATGATTAAAATGTATAATTAATTTTCCAAAAAAGGAAAGGATAAATTATGTGGGATGGACGAAAATAAAAAATAGGGACAAATTATGTGGAACGGAATTAGTATAAATTATTAAATGAAAGATGTATATTCATTATTTAATAAGATGTGACGGATGGAGCATTACATTAATAATGTTTTTAAAAGAAGTCTTTACTTTTTTTTAATATTTCTTGCTCACTGTCCAAATGAACTTTTTGAAATTTTGTAATAAATAAAAAAATAATAATATTTTATTAGTTAATGAGTTATGTAAAAATTGTTGATATTTTTGCAGGTAATTGTATATGTAATAGTATATTTATAATTTAGGTAAAAATTAACTGTATTTTGATATTAATATATAATTATTTTTACTAAAAATAGAAAATAGATATTTAAAGTAAAATAGATAAAAATGTAGCTGGAGTAATAAAATAAGTTTTTAATATTTCAATCTCTTTGCTAAATTTATTTAAATTTAGATGTTTTTTTTTAACAATTTTTAATTTATTTGATGGCTTTTAATTATTTGACAAATCAAAAACTAATTAAAGTATTTTCTAAATAAGTTTTTTTTTTTTTTAAACAACTTATTCAATTCTAAAAATTAATTTTTAAAAAGTTATTCTATCCAATGTTTTATAGCAACATTTTTTCTTTAATTATTTTTATTCTATATTTACCCTTAAATATTAATTATATTTTTTACATATATATTTTTAATTATTATTTTAATATATATATTTCTGATAAATTATGATTAAATTATGTTTTAAATTCAAAGTAATTAAAATTATTAATTACTTTATATATTACTTCGTCCTTCAGTTTGGTCACTATAGACAAGAAAATTTTAGGATAAGTATAATTAGTAGATAATTAAGAATATATTAGTAAAATAATTATCTTATAATAGAAATAATTATAAATTAATATTAAGATAACTAATTAGTTTAATTAAAACTAAAAAAAATTAAATTAGAAATTTTAAAATAATATTAAAGTGTATAATTATTTTTTAAAAAAAAAAACAAAAGTCACATGGGATGTGGGACGGACAGAAATGACAATGTGGACATGGTAGGTGGGATGGAGGGAGTATTTATTTTCTTTGTATAATGCAATATTAATTTATTAAATTAAGAAAAAATATAAATATTATTAATTTATATATATATTTATTATATAAAATTTATTTAAAAACAAATAAAATAGATTAAATTTATTAAAAATTATAATAATAAATTGATTAATAATTAATATAATTAAAATGCAAACGCAATTTTTTAATATTGAATTGATTTCCGTATCTCACTCATAGTTTATTTTTTCATTATTTGTCGATTTATGGGTAGGCATTAAAAATTTCAGAAGCAGATTGCTCACCACCATCGCCATGACTGAGGAGGACACGCGGGAAGAAAGCCACGCTTTCGGGGATCGCGGGGAGGCATTAGATTGCACAATCTATCTTGATTACAATCTGCAATCTCTTCCACCAATCCCTTCAGATCCCTTCTTTTTGCACAATTTCTCTATGAATCGTCAAATTGGAATTTCCGAATCCAAAAGCTGTCCGAAATGGCCCATTTCCCGCCGCGCACTTTTCCGGCGAAACAATTTTATATCTTCGCATTGTCCGTCGCCTGTCTCCTATTCATCCTTTTGTCCATTCCTCGAATCTCCGCCCAGGTACGTGTTCTTCTTTGTTCTCGTGTTGTGCTCGATTTGTGCATCTGATTTTTTGTGTTTGGAAAGAATAGGAGATTGGGCGAGATGACTCGAATACAGCAGCCATCGGCGATATAGGGCGACGTGGGAAAGTGAGTAGGACGTTATTGCTGCTTGATTGATTGTAATGCGTACTTTAAAACTTGATATGTTGTTTGTCGATCTTCTACCTTTGTTTTACTCAATTTCTGCTTCTCATTAGAGAAATGATAAATTAACAATGTATGTGGATCTTTTTCTGTGTGTTTGTGTTAGGAAACTGTAGGGAATTGTTTGGTGAATAGTTGGAACTTACATGTGTAAAAAATGCAATTTGATGCAAGCAATATATATATATATATCTATATGACATCCGAAAGCGTAATTAATCTAATGTAATTGGTACAGAGAATAAATTAGAGAGAAATGATAGTAAAGAATTTATGGAGAAAGGGAATGGGAATATGATGCGGAATTAATTCTTTTGTTCGGTAAAAATAAATAGAAATATAGCAATATGGATGAATGGATCTAGAGTGGATATATTGCATTCTGGTGGAGTGATAAAAGAGAAGGTGAATCAGTCAAAAGAGGAGATAATGATCGGAAAGTTTTAGTAAAGTGGAAACCTGCAGAGAAATATGATGTGTTAACTTGGAGATTTTCTTTTATTTTTTATATATTTTAGTTTTGGTTTTTGATTAAATGGTAATTTCAATGTGAAGTTTTACGAAAGAAAATAATATATTTTTATATAGAATCATGAAAATTGAATAATAGATAAAAAAGTAAAATCATATCTTGCATTTCTAAATTTTCATTTATCTCATTTTATTTGTACATAGAAGAAAACCGGAACAGAGAATGAAAAATCATTCATTTCTCTATTTTGATTTCTCTAACTTGAACAGACAAGACAAGAGAAATGAAAATTCCATATACCAAATGCCCACTCCTTTACAAGGGATTAGTCCTAGGGATAATAATAGATATGGTATAATATAAGAAATGAATCTTTATCAAAGAAAGAATATGGTACGTGTGGATGAATTTAGATAGAGTTCTGAATTTTCAGAATTTGTAGCGAGTAGGAGTGACTTCTTTCTCGACTTGAACTTGATTATCTAGGTCCTAGGAGTCGCCAAAAAAATAGCCATTGCCTTGCGCGTACAAATTACTAGTAATTATTACCACCAAAATCCAACATCATGCATGCACATTGATATTGTTCTGATAAAAAGATAAAAGAACACCATTAACTAAAGAATTATGTTATGTAGTTGATGGTTAGTTCTTCACCCTAGCTTATATCCTAAATCTATGGAGAGATTGAATTAGAAAGAGGATAAGGAAGCTTGTTGAAACCGATAGAAGGCATTTAAATGCAGAGGGAAACACCTTGAATAGGCAGGTATAGCTCGGAGATGGAATTAAAGTATCACATAGGCAGTGATAGAAGCAATTAAGCTAAGGGTGTGGTGAAAAATGAGTGGTGTCAGGTGTGCGGTGATGATATTTTACTTCGCTAGATTTTGTGTAGGCTGGATGTTCAAAGAATGTTTTCTTGAATGGTTTATTTATCGAACTTGGAAGGGGATGAATGATGGATCTAACTCTTGTGTAAGCATAATGCATGTTGCATTTCTTCTTTTTTTTCTTTTTTTTTTTTTTTTTACTTTTGAGAGCAATCAATCGAAGTCGAAATTACTATAAACATAGTTTTTTGGGTGACAGGTGCAAATCCTCGTCTAGCATTGCCCTTTGCATCACATTGGATCATTACACCATAGTTTTGTTGCACATTTTGTGCGCCTCTTGCTTTATCTTATGAGCATTTAAATTGAATATTTTTTGCTATATGGCTGTGAGACTGCATGGTGCAGCCTCACTCTTGACGGTCAAGATGCTGGCCAGAGGTCAATTGATGGGCTCTGAAGGTTGCTAAAGAAAAATAGACAATAAACTACTTTGAATATATCCCGTTAAATTTTCATTTTGGCCATTGAATTTATGTTTCACTGGCTTGTATGTATTATTTTACAAGTTTAGGATTAAGTTTGATATACTTGTGCATTTTGCTGGACAGGTATTTGTGAACGAATTCGAGGCTAGTATTAGAGAAAAGAAAGACCCTGATTCTACAGATCTCGGTATTCAAGTGGACTCTGGCCTTGGAATCTTAGATGCTTTCTTTGCAAGCTTGTCCATGATAATTGTCAGTGAGGTTGTCCATCCATTCTTTCTGACGTTTCTGTTTTTCTTATTCTTCTGCCTGCTTTACCTTTTATGAGATCCGTACTTACATTTGTTCTTGAATTATGATGGTCTTCATCGATTTGTGGTCATAATTTGACAATTTACATAGTATAATGGTTATCTGTTCTGCCATGGTAAAGCTGGATAAGTAATTGAAATTTTAAACATACTTATGAAATAAATTGGTAAAATTGCCGTTATGGCCAGTCCCTTGATTGTATATATGTTTATGCTCATTCTGATACATTAAAATGATGGTTATGCTGCAAGATTGGAGATGAAACGTTTATCATAGCAGCTCTCATGGCAATGCGACACCTGAAATCAACTGTTCTATCAGGTGCACTCAGTGCTTTGTTTGTGATGACGGTAAGTCGGATTTTGCCTTAAGAAATGAAATAGCTTTCCCTTATGCTTCCATTCGTGTTCATTCTAGATTTTTTAGTTTAATGAAGGCATATTCTAAAAAAATTTTCCTTACGCACTTTAAACAGATTCTTTCTACAGGCCTCGGTAGGATAGTTCCAAATTTAATATCGAGGAAGCATACTAATAGTGCAGCTACAGGTCTGCATCTCAAAATTGTCACCATTAAATATTTCTCAGAGGGTTGCTACAGATCTTAATCAGAAATGTTTTTGCAGTTCTATATGCCTTTTTTGGGCTCCGGCTGCTTTACATTGCCCGGAAATCTGATTCAAAAAGTTCCCAGAAGAGAGAAATTGAGGAAGTATGTTCAAGTTTCTCATTTTAATTGTTAGGCTCTTAAAAACCCGTGGCACTACGGACATTTCGTGCTTTGGCGTTTCATTTTAAGCTTGTGTCTTGAATTTTATATCTGCGCCATTCATGCTTTTTCATGATCATTCCCTTGTGAATGATGTTGCCGTTGTTATAAATTATTAGATCTGATTATGTTATATATATGGTGGCTCTTATGTTCAATTTTAGAATGGATTCACTTTTCAAACCTAGTTCCGATATTTTTTCTTCTTATTGCTTATTTAGAGAATTGCTTGGAGAACACTTCTCTTTATGTCTAAAGTTCTCATTTGCTTGTTTTCTCTTAAGTTCTGCTTGGATAACATTTTATTTAATATGCATACACCTAATACATGCTGCGTCGTTTTGATATTTTCTTCCTTTTTCCTATTTCTTGTTACAAAATTTCCTGTGGATCATGATTATTACAGGTAGAAGAGAAGCTTGAAGCTGGTCAAGGGAAAACTACAATCCGGCGATTCTTTTCTAGATTTTGTACACCTGTCTACTTAGAGGTATTTGTCGTTAATGATATATTTATCTTATCATCTAAAATTTACTGCTGGTATCGTTATGCATCCTTAAATATTCTTCATGGAGGATGTGCAGCCTATTATGTGTAAGTAAAATTTTGTGATTCCTACAATCTTTGTTGGCAGTCTTTTATTTTGACATTTTTAGCCGAGTGGGGAGACCGCAGCCAAATCGCGACAATTGCTGTAAGGTTTCTTCTATTTTTGCAAGATTTTTGTGGTCAGATTTTCTCATGTTTTACTGCAAAAGAAGAAAGTGAAATGATGAGAATTTGAATATTAGTAAAGGGAGCAAAATTAGCGGTGAAATAGAAGCTCTGATTTTTAAGCCTCCTTCGAAAAATTTTGAAGAAACTGATGAGCATCAAGAACACAACTTACAAATGGATGAATTAGAGGGTCACAATGTGAGACATGTTCATGTTTCTATGTTTTCTTGACGATATTAAACATCGGAGAATGTGAATGAAGGATTTGAAAGCCCGGCATTCATCATTCTTGGTCATTCGGCGCATGATTTGATTCTTCATGTGATTATGAATGTTTGTTTTACTCGATCCGTGGAATAAGTAACAGCTCGTTCGAGTGGTTAATATTCAATATATTTGACATGAGAGAATATTGCATGTTTAGATATATTTTGGAAGTGTTTCAGAGGATTTTGGGAGAAGTAAAAAACAAACTTTAATGATTGATGCGAAGTAAATAGAAGTTGGATGGAACGCCGTAATATATTTTTTTTACGTAATATTTTTATGGAGATGAATTTTAACCGAACAATGTGAAAATATGAGTAAATTGAGCTGTTGCTTTCCACAGCTGGCGTCGCACAAGAATGCTGTCGGAGTTGCTTTAGGTGCAACCATCGGACACACCATATGTACGTCGTTGGCAGTAGTTGGTGGAAGTATTATGGCTTCGAAGATTTCGCAGCGCACGGTGGCGACGACGGGAGGGCTGCTTTTCCTGGGGTTTTCCTTGTCCTCATACTTCTATCCTCCTCTTTGATCATCAGCTGCTGCGTTCATACTGTTATTTCTATCCGTTCTACATCATATCTCATGTTATTTTTTATTTTTATTTTTGAAATGATTAGATATTTAATTTTATTTTAGTTTTTTACATTTTAATTAGATTAATTAATATTTTGATTTATTTTTGTTGATATATTTTTAATTATTTAGTAATTATATTTTTCATAAATTTCCGAACAATGTTAGTCATTAATTGTGTGTTTTACTTATAGACAGACGGATTCAATTGGTTGGAAGGTAAATCGTCTGTTGATTGAGTTAAATCATTCTTTGTCACTAAATTGTGATTTGATTATAAAAAATAAAAATAAAAATAAGTACATCCAAACGAAGTTTAATATGAGATATAGTAAATATTTATCATTATATGTAGTGTCGTATATTTCGATTTCAATATAATAAGTATATTATACGGCATGTCACAATATATAATTATACAATATATAGCATAATATATTATATAATTTCATTAGCACAATATATTGAGATTTTAGCATAAGTAGATTATACAACACAACGAGAATGGTGATGGTGCTGATTTAGAAAATTTATTATTGTCCAAATTAGTACTATTACATACAATACGCTTCGTGTGTAGTAAAGACATATATTATTTGTTCATAATTATATATACATGCTATATAAAAATATATATTGTACTAAAATCAATTATATGTGTTGTATAAGATTATAGATTAGCGTATACATAATGTATTGTCTATAAACAAACCATAAATGCGTGTCACTTTGCATGCATTTTAGTACATGCATTAAGCCCTGCATGGATATGTATTTTAATACGTGCACAATTTTTATAATCTAATATATTAAATATAAAATAAATATATGATATAATATTATTCAGATAAAATAAAATACTACCTCCGTCCCACGTTGGGTGTCATAATTAAGAACCTATTAATGAAAATAATTAACTTATAATATAATTTATTATAAATTAAGATTAAAATAACTAATTAGTTTAATTAAAATTAAAAAAATTTAAAATAAAATTAAGATGGATAATCATTTTCCAAAAAATAAAAATGACATGAGATATGGAATGAACAGAAACGGCAACATAGACATAATACGTGGGACGGACAATTTACTATAGATGTATAATCAAAATAAATTGTTGAAAGCACAGCTCTTCTTTCTTTTTTTTTTTTTTTTTTGATTGGGAACTTATTGTCTTTAATTTTATGTAAGAAAAATAGACACTTGACGAAAGACGATTGATTGATATACTAGAGGCACATTTCATTGGTAGAGTAACTGAAATTATTTGTTTAGCGTTTTAATTTAAAATATAAAATGTCGTATCAATAATATAAAAATATATAATATTATATATATATATATATTAACAATCATGTAAATAATTTTTTATTTTTTGAATAAACAAAGCATTTAAGAACGAAATTAAATAGAGGAAAATAATTCTTGAAAAGGTTTAAGATATAGCATTGTTAAGAAGAGGATATCTGATCCGATTCTTAGGATGGAGAAATTTACCAAACATACCGAAATACCGATTTATCGTACTATATCGAAATAGTTTTCGGTATAATATCGGTATGAATTTTCGGAAAGTTCAGTATTTCGGTATGATATCGTACCGATATTATTTTTATTAAATAATTTAATTATTAATATAAATAATAATTATTAATATTTTTTTTAAAATCATAACAAAATATGTAAAATATTGAAAATTTATTGATTTTTTCATAATATGTTTGTGGTGGAGAATAGTGATATTTATTAATTTTTTTAAATATTTTGAAATTTAAAATTATATTTTCGGTATAATCGGTATATACCGGTATCTACCATAATCAAAATTTTCGGTATAAACGGTATATACTGGTATCGTACCGAAATTGAAATTTTTGGTATAAACGGTATATACCGGTACTGTACCGAAAATTTCGGTATACCGAAATTCGGTATATTGAACTTTCGGTACGGTACCGGTATGTATTTTCGTCATACCGAAAAGTTCGGTACGGTATCAGTATCGACCAGTATTTTTGGTACGGTGCGGTATGCCATCCCTACCGATACTCACGAGTGATTGGATTCTCAATGAAATCTAATCTGGAGAAGATATACGATTATAAGGATTTTTTAAATAAATGTCTTAAGTCAAGAGTTTTTTTTAAAAAGTAGATTTTAAGGTAATTTTCAAAACTACTTAATTTTGACAAATTGAGGAGTTCCAGAACTCTTTGGTTGTAGATTTAAGGAGTTACGAGAACTTCTTTTTGTAATAAATTATTTAATAATTTCTAACAACATTCAAAAGAGTTTTGAGAACTCTTTAAATTTACAACGAAAGAGTTTTGAGAATTTTTTTTTTAATTATATATATATTATTATTTTTTTCTTTCTTATTTTTTAATAATTCTCCGTCTGCCTCTAAGGTCATATTTACTTTTTGCGTTCTTGTACTTAACATTAAAAATATCTTTAAATTTGTATAATTTTTCTGTACAATTGTCATTTTATTAGTATTAGAAGACATTAATTAAAGTATTTTTACAATTTTTTTTTTAATTTGTACTATATTTTGATATAATAATTAATAGTCAAATATACACGAAAAATGAATTGGACCCTTAGAACAAGATGAAAATAGTATAATTTTTCTTTTGTTCATTATCTTCTTCCTAAGGTAATTTAAGATACCTTTCTTTTCTTTTTTTATTTATTTTTTAATCTAAAACATAATTTTATATTTTTTGATATTTTATGCTAGAATTATAAAATATTAAAAAATATTTCATACACATTTATAAAAATTTTGAATTTTTTTTTTATAATTTTTGGATAATACTGATAGTTTTAACGTAGATTTTATAATTTTTTTGGTTTTAAAAAAATTGTGTGTTCTTTAATGAATATAATATTAATAATTATTTGATTTTTATTTTTTTTTAATAATTTTTTATAAAAGTAAGTCATAATAAAAATTTTACAAAATTATATTTTATCTCATTGTGCTTAATATTAAAATTAAAATATTTTTATATTTGTATATTATACAAATATCATTATATTTATTTTATAAAATAAATATTTTGTTTTTTTTTATCTTGATTTGTACTACTTTTGAATATAATAATTAATATATAAATATTAACATACAAAAAATAAATGTCAACTTATTAAGTGGACGAAAATAGTATTAAAAATAAAAACTATATATAAACCAAATAATTATTAATATTATATTCATGAAAAAAAAAAAAAGAAACATATCATACATATAACTTGTTATAAATGCATATGGAATATTTTTGTCAATATTTTATAAAACTAGCAATAAAATATGCAACAAATATAATTATATTTTAGATTAAGAAAAAAAAATTATCTTAAATTACACCAGTAAGAAGATAGGAAACAAAAGAAAATTTTTATAAAAAAATAAGAAAAAATAAATAAATTAATATGTATATGGTGTGTTCAGTTATGAGATTATATCATCAATTTACTATTTAAATAAATTTACTATTTTTATTCAAATTTTTTCTCCAAAAACAGCAAATAAACACATTTTTTTATATTATACTACAAATTAAATTTACTTTTAAAACATCGTATCAATACATATTTATATCATATCATATAATTATTCCAATTCAAAATTTTTACTATTCGAATCTCAACTCAAAATCCAAACTATTAAACAAACACACCCATAGTTAAAAAGAAGTTCTCAAAACTCCTTCGTTGTAGATTTAAAAGAGTTCTAAGAACTCCTTAAAATGTTGTTAAAAATTATTAAATAATGTACTACAAAAAGGAGTTCTTACAATCAAAGAGTTCTATGAACTTTCAATTTGTCAAAATTAAATAGTTTTCAAAACTACTTTTAGATCTACCTTTTTTAAAAAGAAGTCTTGACTTAGGACATTTATTTAAAAAACCCCGATTATAACCCATAATCCCTCCATCCGTTATATAACTATCATTTATTTTTTATATATAAATTTTTTAATATTAATGTGGTATATTTATTTGATACAAAATAAATACGAATAATAAACTTTATCCCTAAAATAAACAAACTGTTATAAATAATAATATAACATAATGGTAAGTGTAATATATATATATATATGTATGGGTGTGCTTATATAAATATATATATAATGGTAAGTGTATGTATAGGTGTATAGTTGTTTATATTTATGTATATATGTATAATTACAGAGAGAGAGAGAGAGAGATAGAGTTTGAGAGAATTGTGTGATTTTTTTTTTTTTTTTTTATATCTGATCACTCCAACATTTAATATCTATTTATAGGTGTTGAAATCTTGACAGGAAGGAAGAGAAAAAGCATACAAAAGTATCACGTAGTCACTTCGTGTGTACTACGTACATATTTCATAACACTCCCACTTGCATGCTTTTATACAAAGAATGTGCATCGTTAAAACTTTACTACGAAAAAACCCTGTGGGAAAAAAATCATAGTAAAGGAAAAAGAGTACATCATTCTTGTATTAATGTGCTCCCCCTGATTTGGACTTTATTTGATATCTTTTAGCTGACGCATTCCAATTCCTTGCACCAGTTTGTTGAATGTTGCAGTCGGCAGCGCCTTCGTAAATAAATCTGCAAAATTTTCAGATGATCGAATTTGTTGCACATTAATTTCACCACTCTTCTGAAGATCGTGAGTGAAAAAGAATTTTGGAGATATGTGCTTTGTCCGATCACCTTTAATATACCCTCATTTTAATTGAGCTATACAAGCTGCATTATCTTCAAATAATATTGTAGGAGGTAATATATCATCGGTAATCAAGCCACAATTTTTCTGAATATGGTGAGTTATGGACCTCAACCAAACGCATTCACGACTGGCTTCGTGAATTTCTAAAACCTCAGCGTGGTTTGAAGAAGTAGCTGTTATCGTCTGTTTAGCAGATCTCCAATAGCTTGCGGTTCCGTCACAAGTAAATAGCCGGTTTGAGATTTTGCGTTGTGTGGATCAAATAGATAACCAGCATCAGCATAACCAATTAATTCATTTCGAGATTCACTCGAATAAAATAAACCGAGGTCATGGGTCCCCTGAAGATAACAGAAAATATGCTTGATACCATTCCAGTGGCGCTTTGTGGGGTATGCGCTAAACTGGCCAGTAGAT